TTTGAACTGCAAAGTCGGTGGTTCAAGCTCACCAGTCACTCCTCGGAAACCCTATACAGGGTCGCTATGGGTCGGAACCGACTCGACGGCACTTAACAACAAGTTCAGATAATGGTAGCTGGATATCATCCCATTCTTCTGGTCTCAGGACAAAGGAAGTAATAAGTAGTGTATGGACCTGCAGTCGCTAAAAGGGGAATTTTAAACAATTGCACAAACATAAGGAGCTCTGGTAGCGTAGTGGTTACGAATCGGGCTCCTAAACTCAGGGTCAGCAGTTCGAAACTACCAGCTGTTCCACGGGAGAGATGATACTTTCTGCTCCGGTAAAGATTTACAGCCTCGGACACCCTGTACAGGGTCACTATGGGTCGGAACCGACTCCACGGCACATAACAACAACATGTTAGTGCCTTAAAAGTAGCAATTCATTTAAGTCTCATAACAGCACTAGGAAGCAGGTGCTAATACCGTTCTCATTGTATAACGGGTTAACTGAGACACAGTGAGACCAAGAAGCAAGTGGCCCCAAAAGTCACATAGTTTGCAGGTAGGAGGGATTCGAACCTCAGGTTGTGCCCCCTAGAGGCACGGTCCTTCAACACCGGGCAGGAGGCTCCCAATGAGGGCGGGGAATTTGGTTCATGCTCCATCCTCCCAGACTAGGTAGTAAGATCTGGGAGGGCATCTGTCTGGTCTACAGCAGACGTTTAATCGATTGTGGAGGGAGGAATTCAAAACACAACACCCCCCAAAAAAAACAAAAACAAAAAACCCCACAACACCGCGTCTTGGCCGCTGAGCCATCCTGCCGCGTTCTGCTCCCGGACATGTGATCGGAATAAAACTACACGAGCCTCCCACAGGTCTGGATCTAGAATGGAAAAAAAACGCGCTCACGGTGGCTCGCGGACGCCTCCTGGAAGCGAAGTCACCGTATGACCACACTATGGGAAGAGCCCAGAGAAACGTTTGATCTGGGTAGGTGAAATCCTGAGGCTGAAAGGCGGCAATTTTGTTTGGAAATCGATGAGCAGACGCTGAGGATTGTCTACCGAAAGGTTTCAAACCTGTGCTGACCACGATGCATAGTAAGAAATCGTTTCTCATTAACACAGTGTACTGTTGTTAGCTGTTGAGTTGGACTCATAGCGAGCCCATGAGGGCAGAGTAGAACTGCCCTATAGTTTCCAGGGTACAGGTCAGTATCGACTCATAGGGACCCTGTATAGGGCTTCTGAATAGCGGCTGGTGAACTTGACCCACCGACTATGCTGTCCCAAACGACCTTGCAGTCCAGTGCATTAACCCGCAGTACCACACCAGGACTCCAAAATAGGCCCTTTGTTGTTGTTAAGTGCCATCGAGTGGATTGCGACCCTTAGCAACCCTGTATAGGGTTTCCAAGGAGCAGCTGGTGAGCTTGAACCACCAACCTTGCAGTTCAAACGACTTTGCAGTCTGACGCATTAGCCCACAGCGCCACACCAAGGGTGTTGGCAAAGCTGTGTTCCTTCTGGAGGCTCTAGGGAAAAATCCATTTCTTTGTTTTTTCCCGCTTCTAGATGGCGCCCTGGTGTGACACTTCAGGATAATGCGCTGGACCGAAGGAAGGGTCAGTTTGAATCACAAAGTCGGCGGTTCGAATCCACAATTTGCTCCTAGGAAACCCAAAACATGGTTGCTATGGTCAGAACCAACTTAAACAGAGGCTGTCTGTATTCCTGGGCTCATGCAGTCTCCCTGCGTCTTCAGAGTAAAGCCTCTTTAAATCTCTGGTCCTCCTACCTCGCTCTTTTCCTTTTAAGGACATTTGTGATTACACTGAGTCCACCCAGATCATCTGGGATAATCTCCCCATCTCTAGATCCTCAATTTAATCACATATGTAATATCCTTTTTTGCTATGTAAGGTATTATATTTAGACTCTAGGAATTAGGACATGGACATCTTTGATAGGCTGCTATTCCACCACATGTTTTTTGAACATAGATAAGTTTATTGGCTCTCTCTGTTACCCTTAATCTTGCAAAAAAGCAGCAAAAGACACAAGAGGCATTGTCTACCAAGTGAAGGTGAGTATCCAAGAAATATTTGTAAGTGCAATTGTTCTAGGAACATGGTTGTTATTGCGTGCCATCGAGTCGTTTCTGGCCCATAGTAACCCTGTATAGGGTTTCCAAGGAGCCACTGGTGAGCTTGAACCACCGACCCTGGAGTTCAAACAGCTTTGCAGTCTGGCGCATTAACCCACAACACCACACTAGGACTCTAGGGGCTCTGGTAGTGTAGTGGTTATGAGTTGAGCTGCTAACCTAAGGTCAGCAATTCGAAACTACCAGTGGCTCCTCAGGAGAAAGATGAGGCTTTCTGCTCCTGTAAAAATTTACAGCCTCGGAAACCCCATGCAGGGTCTCTACGAGTCGGAACTGACTCCACAACACACCAGCAATCAACCAACCATAATTGTTCTAGGACTCCGGGTGTGGCGCTTTAATGCCACTGGACTACAAGGTCAGTTTGAGGCACAAGGTTGGCAGTCAAGCTCACCAGCTGCTCCTTGGAAACTCTATACAGGGCTGCTATGGGTTGGAACCAACTTGATGGCACTTAACATAATTGTCCTAGTTTCAGATAAACAGTTTTCAACAAGACTTTGTGGGAATATTTTCAAATTTAAGGAAGTAAAATTCTCTCCTAGCAAACACATATCAAAGCAAGCAGTAAACGACTGGGCTTTATGTTATCTCTTAGAAGGGAAAAGGTAAGACTGGTTTGTAACATGTTTTTACCTCAGTGACACTGGGTTACTGCACTTTGTAAGAGTTTCTATCTAGAGTAACCTTCTTTAAAGAAGAAACAGTTCCTACTAGTCCACGCATGGGAGTCTTGGTGTGGCGCGGTGGGTTAATGCACTGGACTGCACAGTTGCTTTGAACTACAAGGCCGGTGGTTCAAGTTCACCAGCTGCTCCTCAGAAACCCTACACAAGGTCACTGGTCAGAACCTCCGCGATGGCACTTAGCTACAGTCCGTGCATGGATCCTAAAATACTTTTAAAAAATGATCAGATATAAGGAGTCCTAAGTGGGTAAACATTACTGTTTTTGTAATAGTAGGAGACCTCCACTTTCCTCTCCTCTGACCCACAAGCAATGCTTGGGTAATCTGGGCAGTATCATATCTCTTAGTCTCAGGCCCATGGAGAAAGTCACAGGAACATAACATCTGGTCTGGCACAGTGGTGCGCTCAGCATTTGCAATGACACATTTTATTTTGCCCTTCAAATTTTCACAGAATGGTCCCCAATATGTGTTCTGTGGTACCACATGGCCCCTGTGAACAGGCATGTTGACTCTGGTGTCCCGAGCAGCTCTGGAGTTCTTTCAGGATCTTTCCTCAGCTAGAGCCCCAGCCAGCGCGAGAAACACTCTTCATGGCAAAGCATTCTCTTTTGAAACCTGAAATCTCTTCCCATTACACCACTTCTAGACACCCACTTCCCCTGCCAGAGTTCAATCCATTCCCCTCACCTTCCAAAGGGGGCCTCGTACAGGACTGCAGCAGGCGAGAGTTTGGGGGTGGGGCCACATGTATGGTTTTATACTTTTATTGCCAATGTATGAATGCAATAGTAAAACATGTATTGACTGTCCATTTGTCGATGAGTTGGTTGACTGGTTCTTTCATTGGTTGGCTGGTTTGTTGGTTGACTAGCTCATTGATTACTCGATTGCTTTATTCTCTAGTTGGTATACTGACTTATTGGCTGACTGCTTCATTGATATTGATAGGTTATTTCAGTTGGTTCTCTCAACTTCCTTTCCACACTCCATACAGTAAGAAAGGTTAGAAAGTGAAACTACTGTGTTGCCCAGACTCCTTTGCAGCTAGAGTTTTGCATGACAGGTCTAGTCAGATACTCTGGCAGAACAAGAGGATGAAAGCTTTTAACGAATGGCTACAGTCCATCTCCCACTGACTTCTTCATTCCTCTTCAGAGGTCTATATGTGAACAGGGATGCCTCAGTAAGGAGTTCCCCACAACTTTTATTTCGAGGGCCATCTTTTTTGGTGTGTAAAACAAGGGTTGTGGGAAGCTGGCACCTTTGGCTGTCCTTTTTTATCTGTCGTCTACAATACATTGCCTGAATCTAAAAGTGGCTCATTCTATCAGCCATGGATATAACCACTCCCCAATTCTCCTCTGAAAGATAAGATACAGAGACAAAAGAACAAAGTCTTCATTTTATTTCTGTTCACAACACCCCAAAGAATCGATACTTGTACTCCCTCATCTAGATGCATCACCATCCCCCAACACCCACAAAAACACTGATTTCCTCCCTTCGCTAAAATGAATATCCAGTCACCAACTATGGTCACCCCCCCCACCCTGGCCCTTCCTCCCCAGTGCTATATGTATAGCTATCTACCTGCTCTGTGAACTTGGCCATTTCTTGACTCCCTCCGCAAATATAGTTCCTTCCAAGGTCACTTGGCTTGTCTTTTATTTTTCACATATGGGTCCCATTCTTGAAACCCACCCTGACTTACCTACCCAGAGTTTTCTGTTTTCATTTGCAGAGTAATTCTGTGCAGCTTCCTAGCACCACCTCTAGGTTCTAGCCTAGGACCACTCTACCCGCCCCCCCACATCAAGAACAACTTGCAGCAAACCACTGGCTTGAAATTCAAGAGGCCCTATTTCCAAGCTCTGCTCTGCTCCCTGAATTCCCTGTGGGCCTCAGTTCCTCAGCTGATACTTGAGGGATGTTGACCAAAAGCCAAACAGTCCACCATTCTGAGGATGGAGGAGGGGTCTGAATTCAGAAATGGGTGGGAAAGGAGACAAGGATAAAAGGAAAGAGAGGGTGGGGTTGGTCTGGAATGAAGCTGGAGGCTGGGGGATGATGGAAGGGCCCCATCTCAGCCCAGAAACAGAAGTAAGCCAGAAATGAAGACCAGCGCCCCCTACAGGCCCAAGTCCCTGACCATCTAGCTGTTGCGAGTCCTCTGGCTTCGAGCCTTGTACACTTCGATGAGTAGATCCTTGACGTACTGGATCTCCCGCTCCACGGACTCAGCCCTCTCCCTCAGCTCCCGGTTCCGAGCTTCCAGCCCCTGGCACTCGCCCTCCAGGGCCTCGCCCTCTGCCCGCTTCCTCTGGCGGTACCTCAGAGCTGCTGACTTGTTCTGGTCTCTCTTCTTCTGCTTGCGGTCGCCTCGGGTGGTGGTAGGGTTGGGGTAGGGGGCTGGGCGAGAGGGCTGAGGTGGAGGAGGAGGGGGCTGTTGTGGAGGGGGCAGGGGTGCCAACCCCACCGCATCCCCCTGTCCCGTTTCACTGCGGCAATAGATGGCCAGCAAGTCGAGGGTATCTAGGGCAGGGGGCTGGGGGAAGTCAAAGGTGGGGAGGGGGAGAGGAGGAGCTTGTGGGGGGGGTGGAGGAGGGGAAGGTGGCGGGAGGAGTGGGGCATCAAGGAAGAAATCTTCCATCTGTTCCAGCTCCTTCTTAAGGAGGGAGGCCATGGCTTCCAGGTCAGGTGGGGATGGGGAAGGAGGAGGAAGGGCACCTGGAGGTAAAGGGGGCTCCAGAGGGAGGAGGGCCGTGAAGTCAACCCGCTCAGTCATCCAATCAGAGAAGCCATCACCTAGGGGATTGGAGAGGATAGAATGTTCCTGAGTTCCTGCTCCTCTATCCAATTGAGTGTTCACTCTTTTGGTTCATTCATTCCATTCATTCCATAAAACAGCCAGTCAACCAATCAGTACATCAGTAAGTCAACAAAGCAATCAATGAGCCAGTCAGCAAACAATCTGACCCAGTAACCAACCAATCAGTAGACCAGTCAATGAAGCAGTCAACTAATCCATGAATCAAATTGCCAACAAACCAGTTAACCAACCAGTCACCCCAAAATCAACCAATCTTTTCTTCAGCCTTTCCAACATCACCTTTCCTGTTTAACCTACATCTGTGGTTTCCTCTCACAGGGGAAAGATGAGGCAATCAGCTTCCTTAAAGATTTGTGTTGTTGCTGTGAAGTGCCGTCGAGTCAATTCTGACCCATAGCGACCCTTTATAGGGTTTCTGAGGAGCAGCTGGTGAGCTTGAACTGCCGACCTTGCAGTTCAAACGGTTTTGCAGTGTGGGGCATTAACCCACACTGCCACACCAGGACTTCTTAAAGATTACAGCCTTGCAAACTCTATAGGGAAGTTCTATTCTCTGTGCTTTAGGGTTAATCTGAATCAGCATTAACTCAATGGCAGAGGGTTTGGTGGTTTCTCTAATCCAATCTTTATTCTTAAAACACCAACTAGAACACATCACATATGCATGCACACCTTGCTTCATCTTTAATCCGTTAGTTAATAAAGCATACAGTGTCAAACATTTGAGAAACAGTAATGAAGAAAGCAATTCCTCCTGCCTCAGGCTCTCTGCATTTGTGGTTCCAGCTATTTGCAATGCTCTTGTTTTTTCTCATTCTTTAGGTTACAGTTAGCTGCTTGGAGGGTTCCTGGCTACCCACTCTAAAATGAGTTTGATATTTTCTAGCTCAGTCACTGTATCCCGCTTACTCCCAGCACATCTTCATTTAATTTGACTGTTATCTGTCTCCCTACAAGAATGTGAGTTCTAGAAGGGTGGGAAAACTGTGGGTCTTCTTCCTCAGCACCTGAAACACTATGGTCACTTCATAAGTATTTACTGAATGAATTAATAAATTAATACTTCCTTTTCCCTCGTCCTCTCCCTTCCCTAGCTTATACCATTCTCCATGCTTCACCTTCTCTTACCTGCCAGGGGCTCTCCTCCCCCTGGAAGCCCACCCTCCAGGGCTCCCCCAAGAACCTCATAGGGGCCCAGGGGGGCAGGGGCCAGGGGGAGTTTCCCATAGTCTACAAGCCAGCCCAGCCCGCTAGCTGGGAGCAGGGTCCTGTCCAGTTCCAGCCCCAGGGTCGCCAGGAGTGACATGGCTGCAGAAGAGGCGCTGGGCACGGATGGCAACGAAGGAGGAAGGCCCAACGGCTGGAAGGAAGCTCTGAGGGATGCTCAGGTGGACCAAGGCAGGCACCGAGGACCTACAAGTAGGAAGCAAAAGGGGCAAAGTCAGCAGTCAGCCCCACCCACCAGGAAGCCAAAATTCTTTGCTAGGGAGCACTCCACCTTCCTGGAATTCTAAACCCTGAACGCTACCCATTCCCAAGGGAATTCTCCTTAGGCGCCCCCGCCATATTCAATCCCAAAATATTCATTAAAAAAAAAACAAAGAACAAAAAAAAACTCAATCCCAGGGGAATTTTCTTCTAGCCACGCCCGTCCCTTAAAATTTTTCCTTTGGGCTCCACCCTATCCTTAGAGTACAGGTAAATCAGTTCCCAGGGGAATTACCCCATGTTCTGTCGCTCCATCATTGTTTATGTATTCAAATCCCACTCTTCCCTTAAATTTTGTAGTGAAGCACATCCCAACCCCACCCACGTGACCTTAAAACCCCGCCCTCACTATTACTTTAGCCCCACCCCTCCCAGATGTGTCCTTATAGGCCCGCCCATCACGTAACCCCGCCCGTTTCACATTGGGTTGTCTCGCCCTTCGCTACGGCGGTAATATAGCCCCACCACCTCTCTTAACCAGTTGCCCAAGCCCCGCCTTCTGCCCTATCAGGGGATGCCTTATTAACAGGAGGTGACATTGCGCTGTGCGCCAGCGTAGTGTGGAGGGAAGGTTGCAGAGAACGGCTTCCACACACCACCCCCGCCCTTCCACAAGACGTTGCCTCCCGAGGGCTACGGTGCATGATCTGCCACCGAGTTGTGTAGCATTGTAACACTCCTCCCCCGAGGATCAGTGCGCATGTGCGGAGATGTATGCCTCGACCTTCAAACACAAACTTTGGAAGGCTGATGCGCATGAGCAACATCTCACGGATAGGCTGGGGAACGGGAGGAGGGGGTGGCGAGTGGGCGCTTTGGGAGCTAGTGCGCAGGCGCGACGCCTCGGGGTCCTTAACGTAGACGCTCTGGAACTCACTCTCCCTTCCGCCCACCTGGAGCTCCGTGCGCATGCTCGGCCGTGCGCCCGACGGCGCCTTCTTTTTGCGCCTGCGCAACTGAGATTCCCTACGCACGTCTTCCCATCCCCCTGCCAAGCCGTGAGGGCCGCGCGCGGAGAAAGGGCGGGAAAGGCGGTTGAAGAGGGAGGGGCGAGCGGTTGGTTACTTACTCCATGGCGGCTGGAAGGAGAGGCGGCGGCGACAGCCTCCGCTGAAGAAAGACGGCGGGTGCGGAGAGCGCAGGCGCGGTGAGCGCGGAGACGGGCCGGGGGGCACGGAGGGGTCGCGGCTACAGGGCCATGGCCGGGGATGTGCGGGAAGAGGCAGTGTCGCACTAGTGTGAGGATATCGTGGTCTGAGGACGTGAAATGAGGCGGCCCGGGGGACGAGGGACGGATATACTGGGGGTGGCGCAGCACGACCCGCCTGGATCCTTCCGCGCTCCGCCCCCATGTGGCCCCAGCGGAGAGGCGGTCCTGGTCTCCCTCTGATCCGGGGGTCTGGCTCCCTTCTTCCTCTGGCCTGGGGTTGGACCCCTTCTTTTCTTAGACTCGGGGGACAGCCCCCTCCTCTGTGCAATCCAAGGGTATCCTGCCCCCTCCTCTCTGGTAGCGTAGTACGAATCGGGCTACGCAAGGTCAGCAGTTCGAAACTACCAGCTGTTCCGCGGGAGAAAGATGTGGCTTTCTACTCCCGTAAAGATTTACAGCCTCGGAAACCCCTGTACAGGGTTGCTCTGTGTCGGAGCCGACTCCACGGCACATCACCACCACCACCTCTCTGATCGGGTCATCGAACCCCTTTCTTCCTCTTGACTGTGGGGATCTAGCCTCCGCCTGACTCTGGGACCCTGTCCTAGCCTCTCCTCCTCCCTCAGACCCGCACGTGTTCAGTTCTCAGGTCCCTTTCCCTTCTGCTTCACGGAAGCATTTCCTGCCGCCTGGCTAGTCTCTTTCCTCCCCGCCCCCTCTCCCAGCTGTCTTGTCCGCTTGAGGCTGAATCAGACGGTGTCCATTCAAAGCGGGCGGCCGGAGGGTAGGGACAAATGACCGCAGTTCCCTGGGCCTCGTGTCCCTTTCTACTAGGGTGGTTGTGAAAGAAGTCGCCAGCGTCCTGAAATACTAAGCAAAGAACCCGACTGGGAAACACTGCCTTGCTAGTAATGGGAACTTGCGTGGCGTGCCGGGCCTTACTCCTGCCCTCCTGGCAGACCCCAGCGCCTGCGGGAGGCCGTTTGTGTGTGTGTGTGTGTGTGTGCGTCAGTCAGCCCCTCATCTTTTCTCCAGCCCCTGCTCGCCGTCCTCTGCATGTCATTCTCTGGTCAGTGAGCTCTTTGACCTGCGTCTCCCAAAATGGGAAGCTCTTTCCTCCCGTTGATTAGAAGAGGGGGCACTTTGGAAGTTCTGCAGATCATCTTGGTTCTTTTCTCTGCTACAGAAAGCCCCTCTTTCCCTCCCGAGTCTCTGCCTGATCCCTTCAGCAGCGCTAAGATTTCAATCTGGTCTCGGCTGTTTAAGGTAGGAAGTCCTTCTTGGGATCTGACCACCTTCCCTTTGAGCCAGGTTTGAGCACTTGAGGGGCCAGGATGGGAAAGCTCAGACTTTGGAACAGGTTGTCTAGGTTCAAACCCACTTTCTAGCTGTATGATCTTGGCAATTTCCCTCACTTGCCCTTATCCTCAGTAAAAACTGAGGAAGGGTGATGAGGATTAAATGCTTTACTCTAGTGTTTAGCACCCTATGGGTGCTCCTTCAGTGTTGGTGTTAATCTCTTATTGTATATGTCTGTTTTGTCTCTGTCACCAACAATGGGTGCTTTCAGACAATGGTAGCCTCCCACCTTTGGCTAGAGCCAGAAAGATGAACTCCTCTCCACTCCCCAGTGTAGATATTTGAGCAGTAGCAGGTGGCTTGGGTTAGGTGTAGACTGTTTGGCAGATTGGGAAGGCCTGGCGTAGACCACCAGAGAAAGGGAACTGTTACTGGCAAGATCTGCATGTTGGCACAGCTTTCTGGTACCTTCTCTCTGTCCCCAACCTCTAGTCACCCCCCAATGGGTTATGTCCAGGGACAGGGTAGAGCATTTGTATTGGGGGGTTCTGTATTTCTGCATAGCACCTATGGTCTGGACCTGCGTACTTTCCTTAGATGGGAGGTGAGCTTTATTGTGTGTTGGTTCCCTGCTGTGCACTATACTACAGCCATCTTGCTTTCCTCTCTTTATATGGCACCTACTCCCCCCCAAAAAAAGATTATTTTCTCTAATAGAATTATATATTTACAGAAAAATTACAAAGAAAAGACAGTGTTTCTGTTTGTCCTGTACCCACTTTCTCCCACCTTACATGACTAATGGACAGTTATCACAGTTCACGAGCACATGGCAACCAACCCAGGGCCACCAAGCTTATCTAGGTTCACTCATCATCCCTGGTGGCCTCACTCTGTCCCCAGCTCTCCTTCAGGGCACCATGTCACATGAGGCCTCCCTGTGCTGTGATTGGTGCTGAAATCCTCTTTGACTTTGACGATCTGGACGGGTTTGCAGCAGGCTGGCTGGGCGTTTTCTGGAACATGTCACTTTGGGGTTGTCTTGTGTTAGACTGGGACTGTGAGTTTTGGAAACAGCCCTGGTGGCTAAAGTACGAATCCAAGGCTGGATGATTTGAACTCACCTTGGGAGGAATCGACAGTAGCAATGGGCTTGGTTTGGGTTTTAAGGAACCTTGTTGTTACAGCGGTTAAGTGCTCGCCTGCTAACTGAAAGGTCAGCGGTTTGAACCAACCCCAAGGCTTTGAGGGAGAAAACACTTGGCAGATCTGCTCTTGTAAAGGGTCATTTCTCCTCGGCCCTATAGGTCCGCTGTGAGTGGGAATCGACTTGCAGGCAAACCACAACAGCATGGGTTTGGGAGAGAGGGTGCCCAGGCTAGAGTACTTTTTACATAACTGTTCACAAGCATCCTGTGACTGGTTTTTTGGGAGTGCCTGCTGACCCAGACAGCATTGGGGCAGGGATCCTGGTGCCTCCTGTTCCTGTCTGACAGGGGGCTGGGTTCCACATGCCCCACAGGTTCCTAATGGGTTCACACACTCAGCTCCTAGCCCTTCCTGGCCTGCCCCAGTTTATGCACAGTGGGGTCATGTGGCTGCCTGCGACCCCACACACTGCGCCTTTCTTAGGCTCATAGTCCCTCCAGGGCTCAGATGTTTCCTATACACACACACACACACACACACACACACACACACACACACCCCACCCCCCACACCTCTCCACCCCCCCGGGGCTTGGACCCTTCAGCTCATAAGCCTGTGTTAGAAGCACTGGTGGGGCTGCTGGGGACTCTTTTTCCATGCGGAGGAGCCAGGCTCAGGGAGTGAGGCGGCTGTTGCAGGCGAGTTGCATCAGCCCTGGCTCTTTGATGAGGAAGGGGAGTGGAGGGGGGTGATTCTCTGGGGCCCCCCGGTGCACCTGGCAACAGCTCCTACTGAGCAGGGCCCTGGACCGGGAAGAGGCCCCAGCACAGCTGGGCTGAGGGAGTGCAGGAAATCCGGCACCTGTGCAGTGTCCTGTGAACCAAAATTCCGGGCCTCGGATGGGCAACCAGGGGTGTTACACAATCGCACTGCTAGCTCGAGGCCCAAGAGAGCCGGCTCCTGCTGCGGCCATCGCCCCAGCCCTCCCTGTGGCTTGGCTCCTGCTGACGCTGAGTTCTCTGGAGTCCCTTAGGCCAGCTGCCCTTCCTAAGGCCCTCACTGGCTGCAGTTTAGGGGCCACACCGCTTCCTCCTAAGCAGGGATGGGAACAAGGTCCTCCTTCTGCCGGAGCCTGCAGCGCCAGGTTCCCATCCCAGCTCCACCCACTCCGGTTCCATGGCCCTGGCCAGTGTCATCAAACTCTTCCTCAGTTTCTTCAC